TCGGCGCCCGAGGGTGCGCGGGGCCGGCGCCGGCAGGAAGGGGCCCGCCCTGGCGCGCGGACGTGGGGCGGGGCGCGCGCGCACTGGGCCGGCGCCGCTGGTTTTCTGGTTGCGGGCGCTCGTGGGGGTTCGGGCGGTCACGCTGGGGCCGGGGCGCGAGGGACCCAGGACCCCGGGACCCTGAGCGACCGCCCGCCGCGGCCAGAAGTGGCCTGTCTCCTCCGCCTGCTTAGCCCCGTGTCGGTCCCGAGAACAGTGGGAATATCAGGAGCGATTACGAGGGCCCGTTACTGCGTCCGGTGCGCCGCCTGCTCTGCGAGCCCGGCCTCGTCTGACCTCCTGGAAAGCAGCGAGCCGTCCATTAGCCTCATTTTATAGGTGCGAGGGCTCCCCTGTGCGTCATGGCCCACGAGAGGCTGCTGGGAGGCAGCTGGGCCATAGGTAGCACGTGGGTGTGCAGCTGCTTATCCGCGGCTCTTGGCCACGCGGGGCACTGCCGCCCCCTCCTGCCCCTCCCCGCTCCCCTCTGCACCCTCTGCACAATATTCATAATGCTTAGATTTTTAGGTCGTTTTTTTTCCTTCTTTACAAACACACTTTCCATGCAGTCTTGCTGGATTCTCTCAGAAGCCCTGGGAGACAGTGGAGCATAATTACGCTTATTTGACAAATACTAGTAGAGCAAGGGTCTTAGCTGTTCAATGAGTTGTCCAAAGTTACAGTGGTAGGACTGGGGCTTCCTTTGATCGATATCATTATGATTATCTTATTTTTTTAATATATTTCTTTATTGATTTCAGAGAGGAAGGGAGAGGGAGAGAGTGATAGAAACATCAATGATAAGAGAGAATCATGGATTGGCCGCCTCCATGGAATCGAGCCTGCAACCCGGGCATGTGCTCTGAACCATGACGTCCTGTTTCATAGGTCGAGGCTCAACCACTGAGCCACACAAGCTGGTCTTGTGTGTGTTTTTTTGTTTTTTGTTTTATGAGACATCTGGACCAAATTTGGGAGAGAGTCTGTGTCTCTTCACTTAGTCCGCAGAGAGGGAAACAGAGAGGCACAGGATAGGAATTTGTCTTAAGGATGTGCAGTTGGAGGGAAATCAGCCTGATCACTGCCCCACCCCCCCCCACAATAACCCCCTCAGAGTCAAAGTGAAGGTCAAAATCAAGGAGGCAGTGTTGTCAGGCACCCAGCACCTGGGTCATGATCCTGTACCATCAGAGACTTATGTCCAAGGATTGCCTCCCAGTCTCCCCCACACCCTGCTCATTCTTTCTGTTGTTTCTGCTGTTCCCCACCTTGACCTAACCAAGTTCTTCTCTTTCATTTACTTAACAGATATTTATTGAAAGTCACTTCTTTCGTTAAGGTGACCCAAAGAACCGCAGTAATTTTTCTTCTCTAAATTCCTCTAACACAGCAACTTTGGCGAAAACTGAGTTTTTCGGTCAAATGAGTGGAAACTGCAGCATCTGTATCCCTGACTGAGGATCCATAACGCACATTAACAGAGAAATGGCTCTGAGAAATCCCACCATATAAAGACTGGTTTAGCCTTAACTCAGAGCTTCCCTGAGGGGTTAGGCCCTGTGCTTCCAACGTGAAGCCACACAAACCTACCCCTTCAGGGGCTCACAGCTAGGAGAGACAGGTAAATAGGTAATTGCGAAACAGTTGTATACATGCACTCACAAAGGCATTTGAAAAGTGCTAACAAAGCAGGGGAAGAAGTGAGCAATTCTACCTGAAAATTAAGGGAAGGCTCTGCAGTTAAGAGGCTGTTTGAGCCCTACCTGATTTGGCTCAGTGGATAAAGCATTGGCCTGCAGACTGAAGGGTCCCGGGTTCAATCCCAGTCAAGGGCACGTCCGGTCAAGGGCACGTCCACGTCCGGTCAAGGGCACGTACCTCGGTTGCCAGCCTGGGCTCTGGTCGGGAGGAGGCAACCAATCAATGTGTTTCTATCACATCAATGTTTCTCTGTCTCTGTCTTTCCCTCTCTCAAAATGGAAAAATATCCTCAGGAAAAATATCCTTGGGTGAGGATTAATAAAAAACCAACCAACCAACCAAAAAAGAGGCTATTTGAGTAGGAGTTTTCTAGGTGGAGTATATGGAAAAGGGATTCCATAGAAATAACAGCTTATTTGGACATATAAGTAAACCTTTGTGTTGTTCTTTGGTATTAAATATTGTTCAAGTTTTTTTGTTGTTTTATTGGTTCTTTGTGTTTTTTTTCTTTTTTGCATGCAATATACCACTCAAACTGGGTTAAGCAATGATGGGATTCATGGACTCATATAGCAGTAAAGTCATGGACTTCAGGCATGGCTGGATCCAGGTGCTTAAACTGTGACATCAGGATGTAGTCTTTGTTCTCCACTTCCCGACTGTTTTCTTCTTGTAGACCTTTCATTCTCACGCTGCCTTTCCCAATGAGTTGGCAGAAGAGCTGCTTACAACTTCCAATCACATCCTTACCAGCAGAAAGAGAGTTTCTTTTCCTCCATGCTGTCAACACAAGCCCCAGGACTACTTCTTGTTGGTCTAACTTGGTTACTTTACATCACTAAACCACTCTCTTGAGAAGGGATGTGGAATATTCTCACAACTCAGGCCTGGCTCATGTACTTACCTCCGGGCTGAGATCAGCAGCTCTTAAATCTCATGGACTGAGCACTGGGGAGAAGTGGCTTCCTGTGCGAGGTATTTTCTTCCCCTCAGATCTACCTTCTACCATTTGCTTTTCTGATTTGTGCCTCAGGAAGCTGATCCGCATGGCTGGCTTTAATGGGTGCCTCTGGCTTACAGTCAAATTTATCCAGTAGAAGATATTGGGAGGAGATCAGAGGGTTGGAGGAGGATGAAGTAGGGTATTATTTCACAGGCCTCTTCCCTTCTAGGTCACTGCAGGTAAGCTATGTACATCTACTGAGGCTTCTGTCACGTGATTCTTTTCATACAGGTCTCTCTCCTCGTTCCGATAGAGTCGCCCTTCTCTTGGCCTAGAGGTGGTAATGGCTCTTCTCTGTTGGAAGCTCAGGGTTATCACACCATCATTACTTCTTGTTTCCCTCAACCTCACCCACACATTTGTAAGTAACCTTTACCAATCTCCCCTCAAATTAACCTTCTGCTGGAACCCTGATGGTTACATTCATCAAAAACAATTCAAGTTTCTGCCCAGCCCGTGTGGCCCAGTGATTGAGCATCAATCCATGGACCAGGAGGTCACGGTTCAATTCCCGGTCAGGGCACATGCCCAGGTTGCAGGCTCAATCCCTGGCAAGGGGGGGAGTGGGGTGTGCAAGAGGCAGCTGATTGATGATTCTCTCTCATCATTGATGTTTCTCTCTCTCTTTCCCTCTCCCTTCCTCTTTGAAATCAATAAAAATGTATTTTTAAAAATGTAACTCAAGTTTCTATTACCAAAAGGAAGGGAAGGGATAAAGAGCAGGCAATCGCAACAAGATAGCCTTACAGTAGCGCTACTATCGTAATGCAGACCAGAGATGACAGTGGCGTGGACAACAGTAATAGGGGAGGAAGTGGTGAAAATAGTATGATTCTGGCTATATTATAAGGGCAAAGTTAACAAAAGGTACTGGTGCGTTATATGTAAGTTGTGAGCATTAGGGAAGAGTTGAGGAAGTAGTTGGAAAACATAGGTCTGGGGCCTGGGCGTGAACTCAGTCCAGGCGTACTGATTT